AGATGAATGGCTCAGATTAACCGTCCCTGAAACGACGTCGTTTGGGTCCGTACTTGGGCAGGCCTAGTTTGGACCGGACTTGTGCTGGTTTGGGCCCATTTTTTGTTTTATTTCCTGGGCCCAACCCGATTTTCATTCACTCTTTTGTTTTCTATTTTTTTTTTAAACAAAAATGAAATAATAATAATAAAACAATGAAATTAAAACAAACAACAATGTAACATTTTAACACAATTATCACAAAAATATTTAAGTAAGTTAAATCACAACCTAGAACGAACGATGCACATATATTTTTTGAATTTTCTTTTAACGACCGAATTACGGTTTGATTACCATGACAGACATACTTTGTATTTTGATTGATAGCATCAAATGTAACATGGACCGAACCACCAATGACTGACAACACGTGTCACGAACAATCGAAAAATCGTACAGCGGAGTCGTTTGTCACTATTTTTGTTTTCTTTTGGAGCGATTGCTCGTAAAGCAAAAATCACGTGCTTACAGTATTTATTGCTTTAAATTTAGTTGTAGTCTATCTTGTTCTATTTCTTTATTGCCTCATTTCCTCGTTCACATTCTTAGACTGTATGATGCTTGTTCACTTTTTTTTTTATCTTAGTAGGTGTCTCGACCTGACCTCGTCACTACTCCACCGAGGTTAAGCTTGATACTTACTAGGTACCGTTGTGGTGTACTCATACTACGCTTCTGCACATCTTTTTATGTAGATCCAGGTACCTCATACCAGACTAGGCATTAGTGAGTAGAGCTTTCAGTTCGGAGAGTTCAAGGTATGCCTACCTTCGTTCGCAGGCCTCAGAGTCACCCTCTGTCCTTGTTTTCTATTGCATACTTTTTATTTAGATAGTGATGTACTAGGGATGTTTCAGTATTCTCGTGTAGAGCTTATGACTTAGTCTCACCAGTTTTTGAGAGTTACTGTCAACCGTATTGTGGAGTTCTTTTATGATAGCTGGTTGGTTTAATTTGAAGTTCTATTAGTATTTTGTTATTTTTTCATGTTTGTTAGACTTATCTAGTTTTAGAGACTAGGTGCCATCACGACATACTACAGTGGGAGATTTGGGATCGTGACATCTAGGCAGGTAGACTTCTTTGAATTTGCTAGTCAAGGCATTACTTGCTTTGGAGGACTAATCCAAATTAAATGGGGATAATCATTTCCCCTTTATCATTATGTAAAATTCAAATTCTCTCCAAACGTTGATTATAGTAGTAATATATATTCTCTTCCATATCAAGATTTGACAATTAACCGATGTTTTTGGAATGAGAATGTCAATTCTTTGGCATCTAAAGAGGTGAAATAATGGATAGTTGAGAGCGCATAAATTGGAAATTTAAATTATAGTAGAAACGAAAAATACGAAATAATTTTTTTTATGTCTTAGAATTGGTGGCTAGAGTTATATATTAGAAGGTGTATATTTAATTAGATGCACATAGACCCGAGCACAGCCTATAAGAGCATCAATTTTTTTTCCACTTAAAGCATTTTATCATGTTTTTCTTAAGTCGAGTGTTTATCAAGAACAGTCTTTTTACCTCCATAAAGTAGGGGTAAGACCTGTTTATGAGAATATTAATTTTTCTTCACCTAAAGCATTTTATCATGCTTTTCTTGGCCGCGGGTCTATTCCAAATAATTTGTTTACCTCTACAAGATATGAATAAGTTTTGTGTACACACTATACTTCCCATACTCTACTTGTAAAAATTATTATTATTGTTGTTGTTGTTATTGTTATTATTGGTATTAAAGTGTATTATCAATAACTTGATATTCTTTCTTATTTTAAATTGTGATTCAAATGTCTTCACAACATAAATAAAACATCTTTTCTGAATTCTCCAAATTCTGCTATTTTAGACAATTGTTATTATTGACTTTTAATATTAAGCACAACTTTGTGGAAAATGGTTATGAATATAATTAAATTGACTCCTCGTCCTAGTGACACTCCTACAATTTACACAAGAAGGGTTGCTCTAATGGTAAACAATCTCCACTTCCAACCAAGAGGTTGTGAGTTCGAGTCTCCCCAAGAGTAAGGTGGGAAGTTCTTGGAGAGAAGGATGCCGAGTTTCTATTTGGAAACAGCCTCTCTACCTCAGGATAGGGATAAAGTCTACGTACACACTACCTTCCCCAGACCCCACTAAGACACTCCTACAATTTACACAAGTAATCACTAAAATTACTTACTTAACCTCCAAATATCTTATCTCTTCACAAAGGACACGTGTTCGTTCATATTATACACATCGTCCCTTCATCATATCCCAACAAACTTTTGTCTTACTCGAAAATCACTTGAAACGACATCGTAATAACTCAATTACTTTATATACGACGTCGTATTAGTGCCAAAGCCACTATTTTAGCTTTCATCTTAAACTGAACGAGTATGGGACTGTGTGTGAGAGTGAAGAAAACGAGCTCAACGTGAACGGAGAAAATGTTGCCAATTGTCGGCAAAGGCGGCGGAGTTGGCCAGTTACTGGCGGCAGTAGCGGCGGCTCTACTGCTCCGCCTTTTCTCTTCCCCTGGTCCGGCGCTTTTGCCGGAAAATGAAGCTCTTCCCGACGACGACGATGAGAGAGAAAGTGAAAATGGCGAAGCTCCAGCTCCGATCATTGGAAAAGTTGCTCCGGTTACTATTAAATGGACTAATATTACCTGTTCTCTCTCTGATAAATCCTCTAACACTGTGAGTCCACTGCCTTGTTACATAAAGCATGCAAACTTATGTTGATAAATGTTACAGTAATCATTTGGTGAACTTATAAACAGTGTTTTTATTTGGCTATTTATAAAAAAAAATTGGAAAATTCAGCTGAAATTGATGATAAAGCTCACAGCTTATTAGTATTACCAAATGTGTGTATGTGTTGATTATTTTGTAGAGATTGAGATTCTAGAATTTGCTCCAATCAAGCGGTCTAGTGGTTCGGAGTAACACATGAAAAACTTAGCTTAACGATGAACTTCTCTTTAGTCGACTTCATCAGTTTGCTGATATCTGTGATGCATTTATGCATTTTTATTTGTATATGTTAGAAATAGATATTACTGCTAGTGAATTACAACAAAATATAATTCTCCTTAAGTTTCTGAAGAATTATCAGTTACCATATACCGAACTAGTAATTGTGTTATATGATTCAGTATATAACAAAAATATCATTATATCGTGATAGACATTGTATTCTAGGACAGGGAATGCACATTTATCTTAGTAATTGATCTATATATTACAACAATGACAACTAAGCCTCAGTCCAAACACGTTAGGGTCGGTTATATGTATTCTCACTGACCATGTTACTTCAAATACACACATTCTAATATACAAAATAACATAATAATTATTAGTTGGGGGCTATGTATATACATAGATACTGGTGGTTGTTTGAGAGACAACTGATAATATATACTGATGTAACTCTATAACCAATGAATATTCTCAATGACTATGAAAAGGAAACCTTTCTGCTCATCTCTTTCCTTCTTAGTAGCCAAACATATATAGTTACTTCAAAGTGACTTCACAGTTTATTTGATACTATCTTCATAATCTAGACTATTTCCTCAATCTTTATGACTGTGGCCTGACCTTATAAGTTACTGTATCTTCCCCTTAATTTTAATATTCATCTACATATTCTTATGCTCTCCCCTTTAACTTTTTCTCATTTTTGCTTTGGAATAGCTAATTTCTGGTTATAATGACTTAAGCAACTTGCAAGTTCCCATGATTGGAATTGTGTAGTTATTTTAAGTGCCAGATTCAAATGATACTGACATTGACATTCAGAATCTTTCTGGTTATCTTTTCCTTTCCCCCCAAACTCTAGGTGCGGTTTTTGCTAAAAAATGTGACCGGAGAAGCCAAACCTGGTCGATTGCTAGCGTTAATGGGTCCATCAGGATCAGGAAAGACAACTCTTCTCAATGTTTTGGCAGGTCAGATAAATGCATCACCCAAGTTACATTTGTCTGGCCTTTTGGACATTAATGGGGTGCCATTTTCAAACAAAATATACAAGTACGCTGGCTTCAATAACCACTGTCAATTAGACTGATTACTTTTCTCTTGAGAGAAATTCTTAGTAAGATGATGTAAGTTCTTGCTACTGCAGGTTTGCTTATGTTAGACAAGAGGACCTTTTCTTTTCCCAGTTGACTGTTCGAGAAACACTCTCTCTTGCTGCTGAACTGCAGCTACAGGACGTATCTTCAATAGAAGAGAGAGATGAATATGTGAACAATCTATTGTTTAAACTGGGTTTGGTAAGGCTTCCCTTCGTCTTATCTTGGTAATTGTGTAGGAACCGTTCTAGTTAAAGAAATTGTTCCACGAAACAAACCTCTCGTTCTCTGATAGCTGTAGATTGTTGTAGTCTTTACCTCAAGTTTAGTAGAGAAATCACTCTGATTTGTCCTTAGCCTTGTTGGTTTCATGTCACTCCTAAAGGTCAGTTGTGCTGATTCACGCATTGGTGATGCAAAAGTTCGTGGAATTAGTGGAGGTGAAAAGAAGCGCCTGTCGCTTGCATGTGAGCTTATTGCCAGTCCATCTGTAGTTTTTGCGGATGAACCTACTACTGGTAAGTAATTCTATCGCTTTTTGCAGTCCACATTTGCTGACATTACGCTTTGACTATGATGGCATCATCCAAATTTTCTGCTTTTATTGAACTCAGTTGACCAGTGAGTACTTCTTGTCTGGTTGATATTATATGCTTTAATTCTTATAGTGCCTAGACATTGCAACATTGCTTGAAGATCGTATAAACCAAGGAAGGCCTTTATAAAAGCTTAAAGGTTTTAAATTAGGATAACTATAGATTTTCCTGTCAATTTTCTCTATGAAGTCAAAATGGCAAGGACTCCCAAATTTTCACTATAATCTCTTCTATCTTTTGTTTATAATGGTACTTCCCTCCTGGCCACGACTATTTTATCCCAGTTGTCCTGATTCCTTGGTGACGTGATAGTGTCAAGCTATTTGTAGTGGAAGTCAGAGTACTCATGGAAATGCAGAAAAAGATTGTTGGGGTTGCATGGGAATTGGAATCCTGTGACCATATGGTTATAGAAAAGTCTAAAATCACGATTCAGAATATATCTTATATTTTTGTAGAACCTGGGTCAGTTTGTTCTTCTACTTGCCCAGAGAATATGCTGTACTTAATAATGTCCAAAATCAAAAGCCTTCACTTCTACTCTGTAGTCTGAAGGGAATTCTTTAGATGATGTAGTCAGTGTGGAATAGGGTGCTATTAAGGACTTCAAAACCATGCTTGGGGATTATGTGTTGTCCTGTCCTGTTGTATGCCTAAATGTAAACGCTTGATTTTGTTTATGTGTCAAGGAAACCTTGTGGGTTTTTTACTTAGACAAATGATTCTAATTCTGAAGTACTTTAACAGTTGCATTCGGGTTGTAGAAGCTTCTACATGTAGGAGGGGAAGGAGTAAGCATATAAAATGAAAGCTAACAAAATGAGCTTCTGGAAAGAAAACATTCAAACTGGAACTAAATCAGTGTCATACATTTATTAGTTCTATGAAAGACAATCTCAATGAATGTCTCCCTCTTTTCATATAGAGTTCATTTATGCATCCAAGTCTTATCCTGTTATTCTCTTCTATGATAATGATATTTTCTTAAAAAAGGATCTTCTATGTTAATGGCATGCCTTTTTTATTAATGGTTTTCTGGTATCTGGATTCTTTAGCCTCCTGCAGTGGAGGTTCAACTTGAAAGCTAGATGTATTATGTTTTACTTGACATTGAATCATAAACCACATTGTAATTGTTGGAAGTTTTCTACCCATACTTGTACAAAAGATGAACTTCACTTTCCTTGGTGGCAGTTGCAAAATATTACTAACCCTGTAATGTAGGACTAAGTATATTTATAACGTAAAACATTCTGATTTTAATAGAAACAACTGAAATCTACTATTGAAGTCATAATAATTATGTGAAGACGAGGATTTTCTTGAATGGTTGCTTTCTCACCTTTTTACTCCCTGCCCACAAAACCCTGCTTTCAGGACTTGATGCTTTTCAAGCAGAGCGAGTGATGGAAACGCTAAGACAACTAGCACAGGATGGCCATACTGTTATATGCTCTATACACCAGCCTAGAGGTTCTGTGTATGCAAAATTCGACGACATTGCTCTTTTGGCTGAGGGTTCACTCGTCTATGCTGGTCCTGCACATGATGAAGTACTGGCATACTTCTCGAAATTTGGGTGTGTTATATGATCTATCCCCTAAGTTAGTTATATAGTTTATATAACCTTATAGTGTTGTGCTACTATTGGCTCTCACTTTCTGGCATTGTATTACTGGAATTGGCTTATTTGTGTGGTTAGTGGTTTAACGAGATAAATGTCTAGATGAATCCAATTAATCAGAAATATTCTTCTTCTGTTTAAGTACAAAAAAAAGTCATGTTGATAAACTTGAGGGTGAGTTCAATGTTGCATTTTATTCTTAAACACATAGATACCAAGTTAAAATGTGGTAAAACGAAATAGCACGCCAGCGTGATAATGCAGTGTCCTATAATAATTATTAGTATGATTGTAACACTTTATGATGTAACATTTATCCTTGCTCTTTCTTTTTCTGGTTATTTTTGTGTTGGTGGTTGGGGGAAGAGGGATGTGCATGCATGTATAAATGTGTGTGGGCGCGCGTCTGTGTGTGTCTAAATTTATGCATTTATGCTTTGCCATTGCCATATGGATATGGAGCCAGCTTGCTTTCCTATGATTTACATGAAGTGCGAACTGCAATGTGTTAATCAAGTATTGGTTGGTGGTTACTAAATGACAGGTACATTTGTCCAGATCATGTGAATCCTGCTGAATTTTTGGCTGATCTAATATCTATAGACTATAGTTCGTCCGAGAGTGTATACGCTTCCCAAAAGAGAATAGATGGTCTAGTTGAGTCATTCTCAGAACAGATATCGGAGGTTTTATATGCAACTCCACTTTTAAGGGATAGCTCGAAAACCCGTGTAAACTTAACAAAGAAATCTATTTCACGTAAAGGTGGTTGGTGGAGGCAGTTCTGGTTACTTCTCAAACGTGCATGGATGCAAGTGAGTTCCATCTCTCTCTCTAATTCTCTTCCAATCTCACTTCTCTGTTTTAACAGGAATTTACGGATTATACATAGTGACTTAACTCAATTGCTTCATTAATCTGCTGGAACTATAAATCATATAGAAGAAGTGTTCAAATATTTGGATGAGTTTGTTCCTTTGTTTGTAAATTTTAACAGATAAACGAAGAGTAATTACAGCATTACCATGTTATGTAGCTAGTTGGAACTGACCTTATCATCAATAGTGTATGCTTTATTTCTTTTCCTTGCTGCCTGAGGCTTCCTTCCTTCTAATGCTTAATAATCTTTAGTACTTCTTATACCACAAAAAATTGTGATATTTGAAGCAATTTGCTTCTTTGGGTCTGTTATAATTGAGATTAGTTATTGATCAATAGGCTTCTCGAGATGGACCGACAAACAAAGTTCGGGCAAGGATGTCAATGGCATCAGCGTTGATTTTTGGCTCTGTTTTCTGGAGGATGGGCAGATCCCAGACGTCAATACAAGACAGAATGGGATTACTTCAGGTGAGAAGTGCCAATATATATATTTATATCAGATCCTTTATCAATAAGATTAATTTAGCGTCAACAAGTAATCTTGATTGCGCATGAATGAAAGAGATGAACATCTGTTCTTTTTCTATGTTCAACAGCGATTTTCTGCTTTCAGCGATATTTTTATTCTTTAACCAATTGGCCAGCTAATAATCTGTGGCCAAATAACCTACATTGGCCAGCTAATAATCTGTGGCCAAATAATCTGTGGTCAATTTTAGACATACTAGGATCTTGCTAGGATTGCACACTAGCACATCTAGTTAGCATTTACCTGTAAATATGGTTCAGTACAACCTATGTACTGATTCTATTAATATATACAAATGTTATCAATTAAAAAAAGAAGAAGCAAGGACTCAATATTTCCACCCATTGAAAAGCATCAAATATGAAAGTACATGTGCCAAGTGATAAGGCCATGGGGTTCCTGATCAATTTCCTTCCCATTTTCCTTTGTTCATGCTTAGGTTGCTGCAATAAACACTGCTATGGCAGCTCTGACAAAAACAGTTGGTGTCTTTCCCAAGGAACGCGCAATTGTTGACAGAGAACGTGCCAAAGGGTCTTATGCTCTGGGACCTTATTTGCTTTCCAAGTTGATTGCCGAGATTCCTGTTGGAGCAGCATTTCCACTACTCTTTGGTAGCATCCTATACCCTATGGCTCGACTTCATCCTACCATTTCTAGGTGAGCTTAACACTGTTTATGAGTTGTATACATATATGAGTTGCTGATAAGGATAAGCTACTAAGGCTATTTCATGTAAACTTCCTCCCCAAATTTGAGCATGTTTTTTTTTCAAGGACTGAGGTCTCTCCTTGCTTTAAATATTTAACAAAAAAGAGCCTGACAATCAAAAGGTCTAAGGTACCAGCAGAATCTTGAGGCTGTTTTGAGTAAAGTATGGAGAAACTGCATATCAACGCATTTTCCTGTGACTAATATTTAGGAGAAGACAGAGAAGGCCATTAAGCTACAACACCTCAATAAATACATAAACGTAAGCTTAGAAACAACTGAAACTTTTAATATCTTTTTTACAAGCATCCACACGTGGAAACAACCTCTCTACTCCCTCGGGTAGAGGTAAGGTCTGCGTACACACTACCCTCCCCAGTCCCCACTAGTGGGATTCTACTGGGTTGTTGTTGTTGTTGTACAAGCATCCACATTCCCGTAATTTTTGTAGGTTGAATAGCAACAAAGGATATAATAATCTCAGTTATAATCAGTTCATCTGTCTTTTTTTTTTTTTTTTTTTTTTTAAACTTCTCCCAATTTAGGAGGATCTATAGTGTTTCCACACTTCCCTCCAGCGTGACTCGAACCCAGCACCTAACGGTCGTGGGTGGAGATGCTTTTACCAACTGAGCAAGCCTCACTTGTCGTTCTGTCTTTTACAAAAAAAGATGTGGTTAACTTTTTGTTAGTTGTCCAAATTTTTCTTGAACAAAGTAATTGAGACATTTGGAGGTTTTCTTCTTTTGTCAACTTTCTGAGCTATCCTATTGATTACTTTAGACCGTCAGTAAGATGCCATACAAGCTTCTTCACCAGTCACTGTGATGAGCGAATATTTATTAGCTTTAAAGAATATATTTACCCTTAAGTTTTACTTTGCCTTTATACTCGAAACGGGATTTTATAGTCAATCTTTTTACTCTAGGGCATTCATCCATTCTCACTTGCCGAATTTTACTGGCATCATGACCCTTTTTTCCCCATCCAGTGAGATGCTACCAGTAGCTATTGGTATTTCAATTAAATTAAATGCCAGCATTTGGTTGCAGAAGAGGATAGAAACACACACTATAATGAGTGCTGACATCTTTATACTTTTGGTTTATAGATTTGGGAAGTTCTGCGGAATTGTAACTGTGGAGTCTTTTGCTGCATCTGCTATGGGTTTGACTGTAGGAGCTATGGTTCCAACAACTGAAGCCGCATTAGCATTGGGTCCCTCTCTTATGACAGTTTTTATTGTCTTTGGGGGGTACTACGTCAATTCAGAAAACACACCAATTATTTTTCGGTGGATTCCTCGAGTTTCTCTTATAAGATGGTACTAATGTTCCTTCATATGCAAAAGTACTTGACGATTCCTTGACTTTAATATTCTTTCCTATCCAAGGACCTTAATTCTGGCGAATTTCTTGTTACTTTCAGGGCGTTTCAGGGGCTTTGCATCAACGAATTTAGTGGCCTTCAATTTGAGCATCAAAATTCATTTGACATACAATCTGGTGAACAGGTGAGTGAAGACATAGACCTCTTTGTTTTACTTAATAGAATTCTCCTGAATTGCGTTAATATCTTTCACAACCCCTTGGGATGCGGCCCTTTCCTGGACCCTGCGTTAATGCGGGAGGCTTCATGCACCAGGCTGCCCTTTTGTTTTTTGGCGTTAATATCTTTCTGTCGAAATCTTCATATATGTCCATTAAATTTTCAGATCATTGAACTAAAACTTCCTTTGAGAAGGCAAAATTTTCTCTAAATCCACCCAGAACATCATGTTGGGGTCTTTTCACACTGTATGCGATTGAAGTCCTGAAATATAGGTGCAGAGAGAACTAACACCAGCTCCAGATGGCTAGTGAACCTTTTAAGTCCTCATATTAGCATGACCATGTGATCATGTGATGCAACCTGGGGAAAAAGACCAATCTGTGACTGATAACAAACACTAAGTTGACATGACTGACAGTATATCTTTGTGATATGATTTAGCAGTACTGTAACTATTGCTTTCTCATCTGTTTTCTTTTTTCATTTTTATTTACCTTGTCATGGTTTTGTTGTTCCATTTTGTATCTTTATTTGGTGACGTATTTGTTTAGTTATGCTTCTTTTGTTCTTCTTCAGTGAGGTCATGCGTCTGTTTGACACCTACTGAACTTCTAAAACGTAAACTAGCTTCGTTCAATTTTAGAGGGGTCATTTTAGGCCAAGGCAAAACCAAGTAGTGGGTGAACATAGTAAGGTGATGATAAACAGAGATAACCCGTAACGTGGAAAATTGAAGTCAATACACAACAGAAATCTGTAGTGACACTAAAGTAGCAGCATAATATTTTTGTGTGGAAAAAAGTGGACTATTGCTACTTTTTGGATCTTCAGGAGTTAGTTCCGTTGCAAGAAAGATATCATTCAGTGTCGAACTTCAATATTGAACCCATATCCTCCCTTATCCTCATATTATGCTTACTGATGGAAAACCCCCAAGAATGAGATCCTTGATGTGGAAGAAAAGTATTTTGATCTTTGTATAATAGTGATGTTGAGTGACTAAAATAGAACGTGATTGTGAAATTGTTTTCATTGTTATATACCAACATCTTGAGTTTCACTTATATGCAGGCACTTGAGCGGCTATCATTTGGAGGCAGTCGAATAAGTGATACAATTATTGCTCAAAGTAGAATACTAATGTTTTGGTATTACACAACTTACCTTCTCTTGGAGAAGAATAAACCCAAGTATCAGCGGCTTGAACCATCAGCACGTCTCAAAGAAGTCGAGGAAGAGGCCAAAGAGGTCGAGGAAGAGCCAGAAAAGGAAGAGCCAAAGTTTCAGGCTGTAAAGGATGATGATTTACCTGAACCAGCTCAGCAAGTTGAATCTCCTCCCGTGGATGAAGGTAAACCCAACCAACAGCAGGAAATTTCTCCTGCTGAACTTGATCTGTTTAACCTTGACGGCTTCTAAATTGCTTGGGAAAATGGATGATGTTGATACAAAGATCTGCCACTTTTTTCATTGATTTATCTCCTACAGGTGCTAATCAAAAGGAGATGCCTGTGCAGTAAAAGGAGGTCCTTCTTATGTGAGCTAGTGAGCTAATTCTAGCATACAGTTAAAATTCATCTCCTTCCTGTATCTTTAGGGGTAAAAAGCATTAGAAATTCCATGAAGATGGTCCAGAATAGTCTTGAAGTATGGTAAATATGAGCAGAATTCAGATGTAAAGCTGCAAAGTACGAACTTCTTAGCCTATTTTATTTCTCATTTAAAAAAAAAAGGTTTACTGCTGGTTGGAAACCAAATCCTTTGATGGATCCGTAATGGTTGGTCGTATCAATAGCTTTTTCATCCTTGAATTGTAGGGCTGGAAATTTGATTTTCTAATGATTATACATGTTGAATATCTGTGGTGATATTTCTGTCGGTAGAGCAACGATGAAGTTGTCTCCATGTGACCTATAAATTTTGTGTTCGAGCTGTAGAAGCCGCCACTAATGTTTGCGTTATTGTAGGCTGTGTATATCACAACCCTCGGGATGCGGTCCTTTTTCGGACCTTGCGGGAATGCGGGATGCCTGTTCTTTTATATTTCAGTTGATAATCCATTGGTGATGGGTATAATGTTTTGCCATATCTTCTTTTGTTGATTTATAAAAGGTTATTTAGGAATTTTGCACCTAAGAGTGTAGCCTAGTGTCAATGAAATGAGTGAAATCTTTAGTTAACCACCTTTCGCGTAGTAAAATTTTGACGGATTTACCATAGTAGTTATGGCTATTTAACTTAGAAGAAAAATTCAAATTTTCATCTGGTTTTCTCCCATCACCAAGTCATTGAGTTTTAACAAAAATAATGATAATAATAATACTAAGAAAAGGCACTTTGTTATAATAAAACCAAAAATAATAGTAAGGAAAAAGCAACAAGAATGATAATTTGTATGCTCTAAAAACTGAAAGATCATTTAACGTTGACTAGAATCACATTCAAACTTGTTTAACTTAAAATATATTCTATTAAATATTCCATTGATTAAGTCAACGTGCTTAAGCACGTCTTAACCTGATATAATGATTGCAGGACTCTAAGGTCAACTAGAATTTTTTAATTTATTAAAACAAAACAAAAACAGAAATAAAAAACAAGGTCCAACCAAATATATACTATTTCTTTTTTGTTGACATTTCCTTTATATTGCAACTGTCTGTGGTCTTTTAAATGATGGGAATACAAATTTCCAAAAAATAAAATAAAATGATGGGAATACGTAAAGCCTACTAGCCTAGCTATACGATATGATACTAAATTATATGAAAAGTACTATGAGTTGTAATTATTTTCAAGTCAATATGATAAAAAATATTTAAAAAATTAAAATAGAGTAGAAGACGAGAAGAGAGAGTTCTAAGTCAAATTGAAATCTCGTACCTCAACATATATGGCAAACGTTGTAAGTTGTAATGTATAATGAAGTTGCAACCATTAAACTACAACTTTAATCGTCTAACTTTAGATAATTATCATTCTTGACTTTATTATGTCTGATTTTATGAAATTAATTTATTAAAGAGTTCTTTACAGTGTACTACAAAAAAAAAAAGATTTTTTTAAATTCTTTTTTTTTTGTTTGTGCTTCCAACTCAGTTTGGCGTCAGCCAATGAAAAAAAATACTAATATATAGAATTTCTGGGGCCTTGTTTGGAAAATTCCAGCTCTAGCTCCTGGAAAACAACCTGATGATCTGTATTTCCAACTACTTTCTGATTTTATTTTCCAATTAAATTATTAATAGCTCTTTAATTTATTACTTAATGGATATTATATATTAAAATGTCCAACCTTACATGAACAAAAGAAAGCAACTACGGCAAGATACAAAGAACTTAAATTAATTAAAGAACCGTCTTGCCCTTAAACATGCCACAAAAGTCAAGCCATATCCAAATGGTTAGAGTCAACTGAATTTTGATGCTGACAGTTATAACACGGTTTTGCATAATTAAGACTTTAATTAACACTTTAATAACACTATTAATCATATGTCCCTAGCATCTATATATAATACCCTATGGTTCATAACTCAAACCACATTATTTCAATACTTATTATACAACTCAAAATCACTCTAAAAAATGGCTACTACATCAACTTCTTTTCTGTTCTCTTCTCCACTTCTTCCTTCACCATTTGCACCAAAAAGAAGATCATCATCATCATCATCATCACGAGCATCGAACACGACTACGTTAGCAATGGGTAGAGAAGCCCAGGATCGAAACTACTACAATGGTCGTATTGTAGATGAAAACTTAATTATTTTACGTAAGAGAATTCACGAGATGAAAATGATCGAGAGAAATTATGAACCTCCAACTGAATGGATGAACTGGGAAAAAAGTCTCTACACAAATTATGACTCGAATATTTGCCAAGCAATGGGATTTTTGCAATCCCAATTGATGGATACAAGACCAAGCTTGGTTTTGGGCATGGTTGCACTTATTGGATTAAGTGTACCAACTTCAACTATTGTGCTATTGTTTCATTTGATTGAGCTAACTAAAGGGATTTTAGCTGGATTACATATTTCTTGAGTAACGGTCCAGACTCAACTGTCAAGTTATTGTTCGTTTTGGCCCGACTTTTGAGATCTCATGATTCTGTTCCCTCGAGCTTTTAACCCAAAACGTAGCGTCTTGATAGTTGAATTACTAATCTCACCTTATATGACACTTACTTACCTGTTATAGCTTCAGATTTTATTTCTTCTGGATTTGTATTAGTCCTCCAAGAAGAAGATTTAAGATTTTTTTTTATATATTTAAATGTAGAACAGAAGAAAATTAATACAAGACCTCTATTCTTTTCATTCTTTGTTCAATACAGTGCTTGGATTTGTGATATTTTTGCCTAGTTTAGGCATCGGCTCTTTAATTTGTTTTACCCAATAAATGCATTTTATTTTTCTGTAGTATTAATCCTCATTCAAGGTATTGTTTAATAGGCTTTTAAGAGAATAAATTAATTTATTGACCTTAGCACTAATTATTTCACGATATCAATAATTTTAAGTGTTCTTTATCACATTCCGCCAAAAAATAGATTGTTTTTTCCTTTCCTTTTTTCATTTTTTTATTGTGAGTTTCCAACTCAATTTGGGGCCAGTCAATGAAAATATTAAATAGGATAATTGGCGCCTTCCGCCAAAAAATAGATTAAATAGGTTCTTTCTTTCCAGCTAATTTCTGATTACATTGCAAAACAAATTATGAGTAGTTATTGAATAATAACGTCCAGTTCCATAGAATAAAATAAGTCGTGGAAGCAGCCACTAATACTTGCATTAAAGTAAATTGTCTACATCACACTTTTTGGGATGCGGTCTTTCCCCGACTCTACGTGAATACGAAATATTTTGTGGACCGGATTGTTCTTTTAAAATAAACTGAATACATGAGAGATACAGATAACTGAAAATTAAATAAAGAACCGTCCTGTTCTCAATCGGTAACAAATTGATAAGAGGCAATTTGATGTCCTTTTTCTGTATTAAATTATATACAAAACGCGATATAACACGATCAATTATTTATTCAAAAGTCATTATTCAATACAATTCAATATCACTCTAAGGAATGGAAATATGATCTTCTTCTCTTTTGTTTTCTTCCTTTTCTATTTTCAGAAAAAGTACAATAACAACAACAAATTCAGTAAAATCTCACAAATAGATTCTGAGGAGGCTAAGTGTGTACACAGACTTTATTCATACCATGGGAAGATAAAGAGGCTGTTTCCGAAAAACCCTCAACTCGAGACGAAACATTTTTAGAAAAAGGTTAAAAATATAAAATAAAAAATCGATCACAAGCGCACTAAGACTTGACTATTTGCAACTCCAATAGATGGACATGCAAAATCAAGCATTATTTTGGTCATGGTTGCACTTTACCTTGCATTTGCGAATTTTGACACTTGTATAATTTTTCCATCTTTTGATCAAGGTGGCCATGAGGGGGTTGGCTGGATTACTTGTTCTTTTGACTTCAAAAAAGATTTAACGTTTATATAAGAGATAATATCCTTTCCATAAAGTATACAACAACAACAACGATCCAGTATAATCTCACAAGTGGGGTCTGGGGAGGGTAATATGTACGCAGACCTTACCCCTACCCCGAAGGGTAGAGAGACTGTTTCCAGGAGAACCTCGGCTCAAAAAAGCAATAGGAGCCAATATATTAGTACCATAAAAATGCATAATAAAATAACAGCAATATAAGAGATATGAAATACAAAATACGAAATACGAAATAGATGGCTGGTATAGTAAAACTAGCAGGTAAAACCCTGCATCAATAGACGACCAATGACATTCTTAGTCTAACTCCTAACTGGCTAGTCTGACTCTATTAAATGTCTGGAATTAAGCAGTAATAGGGCCTGATCTTCGTCTTCAATCCTAACTTGTATATTACTCAAATCCATAAGAATCGAATCAAATGTGTCAAGATGTGAGCGTATAGAAGTACCTTCACTCATTCGTAGCATGTATAACTTTTTCTTCAAGTAGAATCTGTCTTTCACTATACAAGGCCTTCAATTTTTCCCACGTGCCTTTGTGGTTTCTGAAGTCACTTCGCTTAAAACTTCATCAGAAAGATTTAGTATAATACTTGACTTTGCCTTTCTGTCAAGTCTATCAAACTCCTTATCTGTTATATTCTCTGGCTTTTTCTCCTTTCCTTGCAGCGCTATGTCTACTCCATCTTGGATTAGGATGGCTTCCATCTTGAGCTTCCACATTCCAAAGTTTGTATTTCGATCAAATTTTTCAATATAACTCTTTCTTGAAGTCATGTTGACTGCTGAAACTAATTCTGTTTAGACTTGTCCTATATACTAATTTGTGAGGATCGTGAGCATGGAGTAATATATAGTTTAATAAAGCTGTTGTGCAATATAAATAACAAAGAGAATAAAAAATTAAAGTATTTAACGTGATTTGGTCAATTTGATCAATAGTAGCAAATTTACTGTATTCAAGGTGTACAAAAAGAGTGTAAAGAATTATAGTAAGTACTCAAATTTGCCCAAAGTATCTCAAGGAATAATCTCACAATAATCACTCCAGAAAAGGGATTCACTCAAGTGTTTTCTCAACTCTAACTCAATGAAATATATGTAAAGAAAACTCTCTACTATATGACACATGCTCAAATATACACAAAAGATATATGAGAGAATAGAAGACTGCTTGCTTTAGATTTTGAACAATTCAAATTATGGAAGAATTCAAGGCCCATAACCTATTTATATATAGGCAAAACGAATGCCTTTTTTAAAGGGTTAAGAACCATTCACAAAGGGCCAATTTATTTCAACAAAAGTAAGGGATAATGAATTGAAAAGGTAAATTTACACCACTTTTGCTGGCATAAAGAAAGTAGAATATACACT